TCATTAGTTGATCGGATGAATAGGGAACTGTATGTGTGTCTACCTTACAGACTATCATCTAGTTTTTGGTCAGTAGATGGCGCAATTACAATTTCTTGTCCTGGAATGGGTTAACTGAAAATGATTTTGACGTCAAAATCCCTATAACTCACAAGACCTGTCACTTCAAAGCATTGGTTCACTCTCTTACCCAGACTTCGTGTTGGGCTTATACCTTTAAATCTACTTTCTGACATGTCTAAACCTTAATTTTACCTCTTGCTTACAATGGGACTTTGTAAGATTTAGAAAGTAAAATTAATTACTAAGTATTATCTGTAACTTATCTGGTTCTTGTGTCTGTGTTTAAAATTATTTCTGTTCCACCAACATTAAGAAATAGTGTTCCATCCCCCTTCTTGTGAGATATCATTGCCTTATTTACATAACACATTTCTTAGCTCAGACTTGAATGAATAGTTACAGATATAAATAAATTCTGTGTCTTTCTGTTCTTATAAATACAAAATGAATCAGCTCTGTTCTGAGTGACTCTGGCAATATACACTTTTAATTTCTATCTTAGCATAAAATGTCTGCTGATATAAATATACTGACACTCCAACAGCAATATAAGATGAATAGAGAGCAGATTAAAACAAATTGTAGGCAAACAAATACTACAGAAGCAGTTCTTAATCCTGGGTGTGTGTAAGTATTGTAGGGTATGCTCCACCAGGGCTCTTGAAAACTATTTGTTAAATCATTAAGGCTAGCTAAATTCTTCTTCACCAGCTCTTGCAATTGCACAACCCTTCGATTATTTATTTTAAATAATGTATCCAAATCTGCATAAGTTGTGGGATTTTCTTAAATGGTAAAGGGACCCATTTTATTCCAATTTCCTAGATATTCCTGTGCCACGTCCACAGATCTTTGAAATCTGTACTTTTCCTGTAACTAGGATTTTAGATAAATGTATTTCCAAGAATCGATGATACAATTCCAAATTTATTCTTGGTTCAAATTAACCCTTATATGAACAGCTAGGATAGATAGTGAAATGGATATTCGTATCTACAATTCCCCTCTTAGATCATATCATGATCTATCTTACATAAAATATATATGGGAGGCCTGCAGCAGAGACAAAAGGAGGTATATTCAGACGTGCTAATCACGTCTGCAGGACTTTCATTATTTCTTCACCTCGATTTCCCCATTTGCTCTGTGCCTTAGGTTTTTCCTTTAAGAGGTGTTCAAGCTGTTGATTTCAGCTTTTTCAATTATCTGTTCAATAAATCTTTTAAGTGTACAAGTTAAATATTTAGCTAACAGCTGACATGTTAACCATTTTTAAACAGACTGGACATCATGTTATCTGTAGCTTGAGCCTTGGGTCAATACAGGCAAAGTGTATTATTCCCCACAACGGTAATATTATCATTATAATTCACAACGTAAACTCATATAGTCAAAATGGGAATAATATCTATCCCCCCTCCTTGGACCAGGGTCTTGGATTACCAGTCCACTCGGTGAACTCCGTCCAGGTTAAAAAAAAAGTGTAAAAAATTCATATTTGAATTTCAGCGGTCCAGTCATATCCACACTTAATAAATGGGAATCCATCCTTGGTACACTCACCATACATCAATGACACACATAGTACATCAATGCCTGAGTAAGCAAACACTTCCTCTCTCTCTGGCTAACTACAAAAATAAAAATAAAAATAGTTCAATAGTCCAGCATAGGCCAGAAAAATAGAATAAGTCTTTCAAGGAGTATAAAGAATCTTAGACACCATAAACCTTGTTCCATAATCTTAGACACCATAACATAGCTATGGGTAGCAATATGGCTGACAACAAGGGAAATCGAGGTGAAGAAATAATGAAAGTCCTGCAGACGTGATTAGCACGTCTGAATATATCAGCTTCCACATAGTTCTTAATTCTTCTGTTTGCTGGATGTTCACAACAATGCTCTGTGCAACACCCCAATTGTTGAAAGGGTTAATACAGAAATAGCGGCATTAGACAGCACTGCACCTTCAGCATCTCCGTTTCTTCGGCCAGCATGGATTTTGACCAAACAGATTTAATTGCAAATAGGTAGGTGCTCCGATCACCTGTTTAGCCTCAGAAGAAGGCGCGTTAGCAGCGCCGAAACACGTGTTAGGTAGCAGGCAGGATATTTCTTTACCTGGACGCCGACTAGTTTAGTCTCTCTAGATGATCAGCTAGCTAGAATTCTAATACGATTCACTAGAAGGGGTGGGGAGGATATGGGCGACGGGGCTACTTTTTCTACAAGACACTGTCAAGCTTATTATGCGATAGCTTCTTCCAGTACTACTGACTAGAATATAGTTGCCTTTTTTTCCCCCATTCCTCCATCCCTCAGTGATAGGCGTACAATATTGTTATGATACTTATCACACTGTACCTATCTAGCTATCGTATTCAGACTAGTGGATGATCACACAGTTAATGGACCTTTTCTACTATTTTCTTGCTACTAATCTGTTCACAAGGATATATATAGTTGCTACTTTCTTACCCTATTGGATTCTACTTCAGTTAGTGGTAAAAGAGACTTTTGAAAAGAGTCTATCTAGCAAGCATAGAGGAATTGTTTCTCTTTATCTAGGCAAGTTTTAGAGGTACCATCACTGAGAGACGTACTATACTGGTTGGGGGGATTTTCAGCTCTATTCAGCTTGATATCCTTTAGGTGATTTCCTCAGGATAATTATCCCCTTCCAGGCATATATCCTCCTAATTTTAAACATTTATATATATTTTTTCTAAGTTTTCTGTTAGAGTATTTTTATTACAGCAACAATTAAAGGTTATGTTTGACCTCTTTTGTATATATATATAAGTATTCACCAGGGGGCGTCCTGTTTTCCCTGACCTATTAGGTCTGTCTTTCAATTAATACACGTATGTGAGGGTTATCCCCTATTTTGGCCGCCCCTAGACACACACCTAGTTGTTTCCCCTTTTGGGGTACCCAACTTTTTTGTTTAGGTAGGTCAGCCAGAGAGATTGGTGTGTAGTCCCAAATATCAGGCGGCACAAATACTTCAGTACGGTCTCTATAATCATACAAACACAAGGATAAGTACGACCTCAATAAATTAATTATTTAGGCTAAACTCAAATTGGAGACTAAAGTTAAACCCTTAACTAGTGTAACATGTAATTCTCTCAGTTTTGCTTATAATTCATGAAATTTGTCCTTTATGAAATTTTACATAATTTCCCTTTGGAATGCCTTTGTATGGATGAGAGAAGCACTTAAACTATATAAAGTTTGTTGGATAGGATGAGTACTAAAACACTAACATATACATATTGGAATATTTCCCAATAAAATACTGTTCTTAAACTTAAACCTTGATTTGATAATCTCAATTAATTACTTTAATAAAATTGGAATGCTGAAGTCTGTCAAATTTTGTTGATGATAACATCTATGGAAACCGAAACCTTTTATAGATCCCGATGTCCAAAAAGCCACCAGTTCTGTATGTGCGTGATCATGTTTTAATACGGTACAGTTATCCCATAAGCATACTTATTATTATCCTATTTTATTTTAGTTATTTCACATTGCGCAGCCAATGTCTAGGTCCCAACTTCAGCTTGTACATCCTCTAAGACCCAGCATTAATACAGTTTTATCTCTCAAAACTATATATATAAAATATTAAAAACATGAACCATCTGTGTATTAGGCTGGGGTTGTTGGGTGTGGGTATAGGTTGGAAGCTGTGGTTGGTATTGAGGAACCTGCCAGGCAGGGCCGGACTGGGAAAAAAATTAGGCCCGGGCATTTTTCAATTAGACCGGCCCCCCCAAGAAGGGGGCGGGGCCAGAGAGGGTGTGTTTTGTCATCACTAATGACAAGCACGCCCCCTCTCAAAGTGAGCATGTTGGTTCAATGTGCAGAGCCTCGCTGAAGAGCTCTGGCTTTAGAAAAAGGCCCTGTATTTGTTCTGCGCAGCGCAAGCAAATGTAATAACATGCTTGCACTGTGTTTGCTTTTAAATTGTCTCTGGTGTCTCCACAAGTGGGATACCAGAGGACAAAAGGGCCAGGAAAGTGTATGGTGCATGTGTTTGGCGCCTGCTTGTGGGATTGCCTGTGTGTAGAGTGTTGTGTTGTATTGTGTAAATAGGTGTAATATGTGTGGTGTAATATGTGTGGCTATGGGCTGTAGAGAGTGTGTGTATAGGGGCATAGTGTTATAGGGGATGTAGCGAGTGTGTGCATACGGGCAGTAATGTGTGTGTATAGGTGATGTAGTGTGTGTAGGGGTTGTAGAGAGGGTGTGTTTAGAGAATTTTGTACATGTTTCCTTACAAGGAATGTAGTGTGTGTGTAGGTGGTGCACTGTGTGTGTGTAAGAGATCTAGTGTGTAAAGGACCCAGAGTGTGTATAGAAGATTGTGTGTGTGTGTGCAGAGGATTAAGAGTGCATATAGGGTAAGGGATCTAGCGTGTATCTGGAGCGTAATGTGTGTAGTGGTGCAGTGTGAGGGGTGCTGTAGTGTGTGTGTGTGTGTGTGTGTATATATGTGTGCTATGTGTGTCTCTGGGTGTGCTGAGTGTGTCTGGGGGTGCTGTGTGTGTATCTGGGGGTGCTGTGTGTGTGTCTGGGGTTGCAGTTTGTGTCTGGGTGCGCTGTGTGTCTCTGGGGTGCTGTGTGTGTCTGGGGGTGCTGTATGTGTTTGGGTGCGCTGTATGTGTTTGGGTGCGCTGTGTGTGTTTGGATGCGCTGTGTGTTTCTGGGGGTGCAGTGTGTGTCTGGGGTGCTGTGTGTGTGTCTGGGGGTGCTGTGTGTGTGTCTGGGGGTGCTGTGTGTGTATCTGGGGGTGCTGTGTGTGTGTCTGGGGGTGCTGTGTGTGTGTCTGGGGGTTGCTGTGTGTGTCTGGGGGTGCTGTGTGTGTGTGTCTGGGGTGCTGTGTGTGTGTCTGGGAATGCTGTGTGTGTGTCTGGGGGTGCAGTGTGTGTCTGGGGTGCTGTGTGTGAGTTGGCTGTGTGTGTCTGGGGGTGCAGTGTGTGTGTCTGTGGTGCTGTGTGTTTCTGGGGGTGCAGTGTGTGTCTGGGGTGCTGTGTGTGAGTTGGCTGTGTGTGTCTGGGGGTGCAGTGTGTGTGTCTGGGGTGCTGTGTGTTTCTGGGGGTGCAGTGTGTGTCTGGGGTGCTGTGTGTGTGTGTGTGGGGGGGTGCTGTGTGTGAGTTGGCTGTGTGTGTCTGGGGTATGTGTGTGTGTCTGGGGGTGCTGTGTGTGTGTGTCTGGGGGTGCTGTTTGGGAATTAATTTTAAATATATATTTTTTTTTTATTAATATTTTTTTTTAAAGTTATGTCCCCCCCCCCTCCCTTCTTACCTTTAGCCTGGGAGGGGGAGGGAGCCGTTCTGCCTGGGAGGGGGAGCCTTGAGGGGACCATGCTGCATTCCCTGGTGGTCCAGTGGTGAGAGTGAACTCTAACCTGCAGGTTAGAGTTCACTCTAGCGAGATCTGAGCGTTGCCGCGGCAACGCTCAGAATCTCGCGAGAGGACCCGGCGGAGCTGCTGGCTAGAGCTCCGCCGGGTCCTCCCTCCCTCCCTCCCTTCTCCCTGGCCGCTTCTCCCTGGCCGCTTCTCTTTGATCTCCCCACCGGCCCATGGAGACACACAGCAGGGCCGGCGCTCGGATAGTGCCGGCCCTGCAGGGGCTGGCAGGGGAGATCCTGTGATCTCCCTGCCGGCTTCAGCTCCACGGCCATCGCGGCCCACCGGGCATTTGCCCGGTATGCCCGATGCCCAGTCCGGGCCTGCTGCCAGGGTGGGTCCTTGAACGCCAGTTTGGCCAGGTTCTCCCTTAGCACTGGGTTCTCCTTTGTTTCCCTGAGCACCAGGTTCATCATTGTTACCCTTAGGGCCAGGGGAACGTCCGGGACCTTGAGGTCCAGGAGCACCACAGGCACCAGGGAAGCCAGGGGCACCAGCAATACCAGGAGTACCAGTGAGGCCAGCTTGACCGGGAGAACTGGGTTCACCACGAGCACCTTGGGGTGAACCCCTGCTATCCACAATTAAAACAGTGTGTTCCACCAATGCTGAAGTTGCCACCTCTACAAAAGTTAGACACTTTGATCAAATATTCTACCTCTGCCTCTAAAACTTTTCTGATTCTATCTCCTATCACCTCCCAAATGTCCTTGTCTCGCCTAC